TAATTCAACTGGGATCTTTGAAGATCAGCAGATTGGCATCCTAATTGTGATTTCTTGCTAAGCTTGAGTGTGGGTTTTCAGCTGAAAGTATCTTAAACAGGCTTATTGTTTAATGACCTGTCCATTAGGAGGCAGCAAAACAACACAGATGGGGAAGCATTTCTGTCTATTTCATGAATAAAGTTCATGAGTATTGAAATAAGTATACATGCCTGCCTGGCTTCAGTGTTTTCATCTACTAATGGATAGAAGAAAAAGGGAAAGAGAGGAAGAAGGACAAGAACAGGGTGGAAATAAATAAATAAATTTGGATTGTATGAAAGTGATAGTAAATGGACAAAAACTTTAACCTTAAATTGTCTACTATTGACCTCACCCCTTTCCTAAGAGGTCTGTAGGGGGCGTGCATAAGTGCACCAATGTGCCTACCGTCCCTGTCCTATTGTTTCTTTTATTTTTTATTTTTCTTATATGTATCCATGTATTCATAACTATGTTTTTACTTATACTTATTATCTTGTAAGCAATTGACAAAAATAAATAAATAAAATAAAATAAAAAGGACTTGGATGGAGACTTCTCCAACGTGACAATTTAGTTCTCCCAAAATTCACTGGCTAGACATTGCCACTGTAACTTCTTGTACTTACAGAACTCAGGTTCAAGCAAATTGCTAAAACTTGCCTTTTAGAGAGTGACTCACCTAGTTTGGTATGAATTGGCAGTGCTCCTTGGGTTTGCAGAGAAACCTCTGTCCTAGACTTAATAAAAGATGACATGGGTTGGACCAGTGACTTTTTGTTCAAAGCAGCCACACCCCAGCTGTACCTTCTCTGGAACTTTTGTTGCTATGTCTTCTGCCTTGTTATATTCAGAGCTGTTGATACCTGCAAAGGATTGGGAATCTAAAACTCCTTAGTCTCACTAAATCACAACATTACTTTTTATTTGTTTGTTTTTGGAAGGCCCTTTGTCACCAGGCTTGAATTTATATAGCTAGCATACCAATATTGGTACTCTAGCTATATAAAATCAAACCTAGAGACAAAGGGCCTTCCAGCAATGTTGGAAGGCTTTGACTTATCTCCTTTTAAATTTCATGCAAAGCCTACATTGACACCAAGCCAAGAACATTGTTGAAAATGGAACAGATGGCTTGATTCACCCATCTAAAGTACTCAGCCATCTAGGAAACATACTGTATGCTTATGGTGTTTCCGCTTGCTCTTCAGAATTGCATCTGTCTCCATAACTGCATGGCTGCTCTCATTTAGGAAAGGCTTACAAATGAGGGACAAGATAATTTGTGAACCTGAATACACTGATGTTGAGATTTTTTTTCTTCTGTTCATTTGTATCAGATCTTGGAGACTGCCCAAACAAGTACTGAAATTTTCTTGGCAAGGTTTTTCGGAAGTGCTTTGCCATTGCCTCCTTCTTAGGGTTAAGAGAAAGTGACTGGTTCAAGATTATCCAGCTGCTTTGTGCCTAAGACAGAACTAGAATCTCCCAGTTTTTAGACTGAACCTTTAGCCAAGATATTATTATCTCAGTTTTTATGGTCTATTCCATAAATATAATATGGATTTTGGTATGGTTTATCTTTTCTCTGGTTTGTTTTAATTGTTTTAATGTGTGGCATATTGCCTAATGTCACTTTATCATTTAAGACAACTTGACTAAACAAATAAATAAAATCATGCCATGCTGGGCTAGAAACACAGTTTAAGTTTTAAACAAATGATCCTTGAATTTTCTAATTTGTAAATGTTCTAGATTTTGAAAGCAGCTCATATTTGATTGCACTTTGAAATTTCCTAAAGCATCAACTGTATGAAGTTTAGGGACTAGATAAACCTGTGGAGATCTTTCAAAGCAAAGAGGATTAAATCATGAATTATTCATGTGAGACAATTGAAACTGAACATGTGCAAAAGGCCTTTTAAGGTTCTGCCTGTATATGTAGAATAAAGAGAAAGGGGCTTAACTATAGGTGGCAGAAGTAAAAATGCTATTTCTTCATATCACTTCATGAAAGGAACCATACTATGATTGAGGAAATTGGATTTTATTTATTACATTTATGAAATGATTTATTATCTGACTGAGGAAGAATAATTCCCCATGACTCAATCTACGAGTGAAAATCACATACAATTCTGCTTGAGTCAAGTTTATTTGAAAAGCCCTTGGGAAAGATCACTGCCCGCTAAAGAGGAAGTTTCACTGAAGGTTTATGTGGTTCCTCCTTCCTGGTTCCTATTTAAAATATAAGTGTTTGTTTAAAATAACTTGTGAGCCAGAATCTACAAATGTGTGGACAAATTATAAAGGAGGCTACTTGAATTGAGGGCTCCTTGGTAATTTGAAAGCCTTGCTTTAGACATTTTCCATCACACTTTATATTCTCCCTCTCTCTCTTTGTATGTATGTGTATGTGTGTGTATATGTATGTGTGTATGTATAGATAGATAGAGATAGGTGATAGACACACACACACATCTATGTACATACTGTACATACATGTATCTATATATACATACATATACACACATATGTATAGATACATGTATGTATGTATCATCTGTCTATCTATCTATCTATCTATCTATCTATCTATCTATCTATCTATCTATCTATCTAAGATCTATCTAGTATGATGGCCCCATGATTGTATTTTTTATTGTATAGGTATGTATGCACAATTTCTTCCACCATGCAAAAAAACCTTTTCTTTTTTAAAATAAACAATAACTTGTATTTTACAACTCTGCTTTAAAAGAGAAACTGGGTGTATTTATGTGCCAATAGTTGTACATTGCAATTGCTACACTTTTATTGCCAGTAATGTCAATTGGAGGTTATTTAAGGTGAAGAGTGTGAACTCAAGACTCTGGTTTTCTTCCCAGCTTTTAAAACCATAAACATTTTGAAGAAATCTTACATTTTTTCTTTATATTTGGAACTGCAGACTTCTTTTGGCTGAAGTAGGCAATGGGGATTGGAAATGTGTTCTTTATTTAATCTTGAGTATTTATCTAGATTAAACACTGCATTCTCTCCAGACTTTTAAATAAACATTGCCTTCTAGCATTTGAATTGCTTACAGTTAGGCAAGGCATACAAATAAAAAAAATTGTGACACAAATTGTTAAGAAATATTGAGTGACTTCTTTCTGCATGAATTGTGGCACAAACAATGGTGCAATTAGCAAAGGTCACGGAGGAATATAACTTACAATGTTTTGTTAGTGACATTTTTAATGGAAAGATCAAATTCATCAGTGGCAAATAAAACTGCACATAAAATATGCTATGCACAGAACAGCACAATTTTTCTGGGGATCCATCCTCCTCTGCTCTGGTTTCACAACACAGGACTATTCCTCTGATACACTAAAGAAAATCAATACCATTTAATTCCATGTTGTCAGCCTTATGAGGCAGTCCAAAGAGGAAGCATGCCCAGATGAATTAATTCTACTTCGTTGTAAGATTAGAATTTTGCAAGTCTGAAAGTACATTTCTCCCCTGTTGCTTTTAAAGCCCAAGAAGCTAAGAAGACTTGCTTCCGAAACATTTGCCCATCTGCAATTCCTGCTTTGGGCTAAGCTGCTATTTGATTGGCTGTGGCTGTTTCACCTGCCTCCCAAGATTATTTCTATACAGAGGTACCTCAGTACACAACTTTTTCAAAACTTGTCAAATTTGGTAGTCAATACATTTTGATGCGAAAATGTTGTCCCAGTAATTGGCATTTATTTAGTACTTGACATGCTGTAATAGGATGAGGGGGATAGCTGGGAAGAACAGACAGGAAGTTGGTCATGCTGGGAAAGTCACTGACATAGGAAAAGGGTTTATGAAGAAAACGAATATGTAAATAATTGTATTGTTGGACATGCAACAATAGCTCTGTGTTAAATTATATGTCTTTGCAATATCCTAAAGTTATGATGTTCTGGGAAATAGTCATTTGACTTTGATCAGATATATAAAATGTTGAGAGCTGAGTTTTTCTTCCAGCTGTGTAGGCTACTCCAATGTAGAATTGTAACACAAGAGAAAGCAAAGGTAAGGCTCATAGTTGGACACATATATACTTTTAGAAATGATAAATAAAAGCCAAAGTTACATTAGTCTTGCTTTACCCAAAGAGGCCTTTTATATGAGGTGAGATAATAATAACTCTCATTGATGGACTGCTCATGCCAACGTTAGAGTACCTACCACTCAGATCCCTCTATTTTTCTCCATATATGGAACTGATCTCATTCTCTCTCTCTCTCTTCCTCCTCTCCTGCTCTCTCTCTCTTTCATTTCTGGAGAGGGGGAGAGAGGAAGAGGGAGAGAGAGGGAGGGAGGGAGAGAGAGAGGAAGGGAGAAAGAGAGAGGGGGAGAGAGAGAAACTGAATCTTTGTCAAACTGAATCATTCATTGAAACTTGTCAGAACCTGAATGATAAATCTATATGTCTAAAATCAGGGAGACATAGATTTATATCTATTACCAACTACGGTATATCTCTAGTTTACTTTAGAACAATTATTCAGTTCAATTTATCTTACAGAGGTTTTGTGATACAGAGATTTCAGGTAGATCCTGTTTGAAAGAAATGTCATGACCTTAATTTAATAGTTCAATAGATCATTCTCTTTTTACTGTAGACAGTGAGTAGCATACAATGAACTTGTTACATCCAAGTTTTTTCTGGTCAAAAAATATATATTGCTGTTGTTTGTCTTTAAATGAGATTGTGCTATCACGCACATGTTCTCAACAATTGAACTTTCTTTGTCAACAGTAATCCAGCTAGAAGAATTCAATGCCCAAATTAAAAGAACAATAGCATATGAGATTTATTAAGAGTTTCTGAAAATAAGCAAGGAAAAAATTCCTTTCTCTGTTTTCTTTTGGCAAATCTTTATTCAGTTTTCAACTAGAGAAGATATTGAAAGTCCTAGAAGTGTCTACTTGAGGATATTTTAAGAAACCACTGAGACAATTCAAGACTAAAAAGAAGGGTAGCTTCTGATAAGGGATAGGATTAAATTCTTCAACATTTTTTCCTCATTATTTGCACTTTGTTCAATTTAGGCCTTAACACAATGATATAACATTTTGGAAAAAAAATAGATCCTAAGAGTCCAACACCAGAGGCTAAGATAGAAAAGATCTCCACAGCAACTGTATATTTTCCCTTGGAACTCAGGTAGGTTGGAACAAAAGAGAGCCAAACACTACAAAAGACCAACATACTGAAAGTGATAAACTTGGCTTCATTAAAAGTATCTGGTAATTTCCTGGCAAGGAAAGCCACAGCAAAACTGATAATGGCCAGGAAACCCAGATAGCCCAACACAGAGTAAAACATAACCATAGAACCTGCACTGCATTGCAGTACAATTTCTTCAGTCATCGAATACATATCCATGCCTGGAAATGGGGGAGAAATTGACAACCATCCAACACAGATGCTTGCTTGAATAAGGAAGCAGGAAAGAACAATAGAGCTGGCTAGTCTTTTCCCCACCCACTTCCTCATCCTGGATCCTGGTTTGGTGGCCATGAAAGCCAGAACCACTGTGATGGTTTTGGCCAGCACACAAGAAACAGCCACTGAAAAGTTGATGCCCAGTGCTGTTTGTTGGAGAAGACAGACCACTTTTCCTGGTTTGCCAATGAATAGCAATGTGCAAAGGAAGCAGAACAGGAGGGAGATGAGGAGAGTATAGGTGAGACTCTGGTTGTTGGCTCTGACAATTGGAGTGTGGTGATGTGTTATAAATATGCCAAGCACCAGAGCTGTCAATGAAAAAAAGAAAAAAGCCAGGAAAGTAAAAGTGATTCCCAAAGGTTCTTTGTAAGACAGAAAAGTTATAATCTTAGGGTAACAGAAATCTTGATTCTTATTTGCGTACTCTTTGTCTGAACATTTCTTACACTCATTCATATCTGAAAAAAAAGAGAAAAGACAGCATTTAAGTTCTGCACTTGTCATAATTCTCTGCCCTAATTACAGGCTGTCCTCCAGCTATGATCACAACTGAGCCTAAAATTATGTTGCTAAATGAAACATTTGGTAAGTGAGTTTTGCTTTGTTTTACAACCTTCCTTGCCATAGTTGTTAAGAGAATCATTGCAGTTGTTAAGTCAGTAATATGGTTGTTAAGTGAATCTTCATTCCCATTGACTTTGCTTGCAAAAGGGGATTGCATGACTTCAGAACACTGCAACCATCATAAATATAAACCAATTGCCAAGCATCTGAATTTTGATCACATAACCATGGGGATGCTGCAAACTGTTGTGGTTTGCCAGCAACTGGTGCAGACGGCAGAGATATCGGACAGTGAGGAAGAAAGGAGACCAGTCAGGGAGTCTGGCGAGGACTTGGACGAGGGTCCTGCATCCAATGCAGGGATGGGGCCAGGACCATCTGAGAGAGGGGTGCTGCCTTCGGAGCTTTCGGAGTCTGGAAGCAGCGAAGCAGAGGACCCTGTTCCTAGTGCGCATGTGTGCAGAGCTGTTAGAAGGCGAGAGTAGCTGAAGCAGAAGGGATGATTTGGGAGTAAGGCTGGGAGGTGATTGCCCCTTGCATAAGGGATAAAAGTCAGTCCTCAATGACAAAGAGCTTTTCAGGAAGCAAAGCAGTTCAGTAATCTCCGAGTCCTTTGTGAAGCTCTGTACTCTGGTCAGTTTTTTCTAGGTTTTTGGGTTGGTTTATGTTAGCCTTAATTGGACTTCTGTTTCTTGGCAGCATTCGACAGCACTGAAAAGTATGCTCTTATCTGGAGGAACTGTGTATAATGAGTTTTGGCTGGAAATGCAAGTAATTCACAGCATTGCATTAAAAAGGTTTTACTTTTAAATTCAGTTTGTGTTTTATTCAGTTTGACGAAGCCTGGGTCAGAACACAAAGGTTGTAACTGTGAAAAATTGTGAAAAGTCATGAGCCACTTTTTTCAGTGCCATTGTAACTTTGAACGGTCACTAAATTAATTATTGTAAGTTGAGGATTATCTATGTTTCTCTCAGACAGCTGAGTTTATTCACCCCATTAAGTCTTGATGTACTTCCTTTCATATTGGATTAGCCTAGTTACTTTGGTTGAGTATAGAATATATACCACACCACATTACACCCCACCCACACCACTCATTCTTTATTTTTCTATCATATTTTCATCAGTCTGCTAATATATTTAAGAAAGGGACATTTAGACATCCTTTTGCAGAATTTTTTCTCTGCAAATTCCTTTGGTAGCAGTATAAATTCCACTGGATATTTCATTTGAACTATTTGAAAAAGTTACTACACTTTTTAAGAAAACAGAAAAGCATAGGCAGAAAGCAATTCTGTGACAGTGGGTGTCAGCCTCAAGATATCTTCCTAATAACTATATTCTGTCTTTTAAC